CTCTTTAAACAAAAATAATAATAATAACAGTTATATAAGCTTAAATTATGATTCATTCGAAAATTTAATTTATACTTTAATCACCTGATTAATCTTAAAACCACTGAACACCAATTTATAAAAATACTAACTGCTATTACTAACTTAATATTAACCAATCAAAATGTATCATTTATATGACTACCTCCGATTGATTTCTCATCAAGCATCAGCAACCATTGTTTAATAACGATATCGGATGGACAAATTATATGGAAAGACATGATTCATACAACCATATCGTTTTGTAGGATTTGGCTAACGGTCTATAATCCATCTAATATTGGTTGGTTTATAAATATTTCACATACTTTACCGTATCCTAACTTCTCTCATTTACTCAAGTCTTACTGTCATAATTCAATCTACATAATAGTACCTGAAATCCGAAGGATATAATAAAATCATACATATTTTAGATGTAACAAAAGCATAGTAAATAAACAATATCAAATGTAATAGGAGAACAAGTAAAGAAGAACTACCAGGTTTACGGAATGAGAGCATTACACAGGTATTATAGGTGTGAAATACTAAAATTTTGAATATAGCTGATATTTAACAAATAAGAAAATAGCATGTTTAGCCAAAGGCAAAAGTAAATAAAAATTTAGTTTCAGATTTTTTAAACGATTATTATAAAAACTTTTGATCAGGATATTCTTTGAAGGATTAAATTAATCCAAATATAAAAGTAAATAAAGTTGGATAAATTTTACAAAGGTTCTCAATTCTATAATTCTTTAAAATCATTAATTCATTGCGTTATCAAACAAATTTCTTATATTCTTAGAAATTCCCAAGAATTTCAAAAATATTTTCCACAATTCCTTTTTCAAAAAATGATCCCTTTTGTAAAGCTTAGAAAATTACTAACATAATTCGATATAATTTCTGAAAATTTGCCTAATACTTTTGTGTTTTGAATTACTCATCGATTTGATCTTTTAAATCATAGAGATGGAAGGAATATAAAGTCTTAATTGTATTTTAATTTCAGATTTAATTTTTAATTCCAAACACGACATTATTTTATCGATTTCATCAAACAAACAAAAGGATAAAAGATAAATCAACGTAGAAAAGAGGTTGCTGAAATCATCTCCATCAATGCAACCCATATTCTGGCTATTGATGATGTTAGCATGCTTTAGCTTTGGTTTGTTTATTACTTTTTAACTATGACTCATCGCAAATTTATTTTTTCATTGCCCTTCATCCAAACTAATGGAAAATCCATGAAATTATTTTCATCACTGTAGCAAAAGTGTAGATAAATAATAACCAACAATCTAAACATAATGATAACCAAGATCGTCAGATAAAAGAAAACAAGAACTACCTTCAGAATGGATTCATTTTAAGACTCATTTTCGCTTGTACTTTACTGCTAATGTCTTAATTAATAATTTAAACTATATTAAATGCTTATTTTATCAGTAATTTGAACATTAATCGCTAACTCGAGTGTAACTTTAACCTATCAAAAATTTGATTGTAATTTGCTCGACTTTCTTAATATTTTGTTTAATTGAGAACTTGAAATACTAAGCAATAGATTGAGCTTTAAATAACAACCATTAATCCAAAGCTTGATATATCACATCTAGTACTGCTGGTATTTCTTTTCATGTCCTTAATCAGAAACTTGATTGTAACTTTCTCTAGAATTTCTTGTACATCAACGTAATCATTCGTATAATTATTCTATTCCATACTTGATTAAATTGATTAACTCACTCAGCCATCACATGACAATTATCTTCTGTAAATTATTTCACAAGTTAGAGCAAATATTATTTTACACTCCAATTACTTAAATTCATATTCAAATTTATTATTCACTAAATTTTAACATATTCGTCATTCTATTTTAAATATAACCAAACTATCATTGGTCCAGGTCATTGAATATAATTTCAGGAAAATGCTTCAAATGTTACAGTTGTGATGGTCCTGAGGATTGCGCTAATCCACGAGAAGAATTATGCTCTCAAAACAATGAATGTTTCACCGTTGCTCAAAGTTACGACATAAAACTGAATGGTAAATCGTGAAAAAAAAGAAAAGATTCATTAAATTTGACTTTGTAAATACTGCCAAATTTCCTGATTCAGTTATATGAAAAAACCAAGAAAATAAAGGCCAAGACGATTGACTTCATGGGACGCTCCAGTAAAATTCTTGTACTTATTCCGTTTTTAAAATTTTTCCGAAACTTTGATTTATTCCTTTAAATACCAGTAATGCCAGAATTCCAATCTTCTCACAAAATAAATATACATCATTGAAGGATTTGCATGTTCCGGGACATAATAATGACAAGAAACCTCTGAATATGTCAAAATATTCATATATTCAAATATTGAGATCATAATTTAAATAAAGAAACATCCCTCCAACCCACATCCAAATTAATGAGATTGATGTATCATTGAGATTTTCTTTTTTTCTTCCAATAAATTAGGATTTTACAGGTTTACGAAAAGGATGTTCACCCACATGCGATCGGGTAAATATTAAAGGGATGTTATGCAGAACTTGTAAATTCGAATTATGTAATGGAAAAACAGGTAAAGGATATTTCACACAAGATGGATAATCTCATCAGTAACTAAGAATAAGAATCGAACCAGCATGTTAATACGGTAGTAAGTCGAATGTGAGTTGCCCAACACTGCTGTCATTTTGATTTCATTCGAAAAATACTATCAAAACATACATATATTACTAAAGAATATTCGATAGGATAGACCAATAGTCCGACAGGAAGATTAAATCTCATTATCATAATAGATCTAAGTTAACAAGATAAGTCCAGATTTTTGAGAAAAATGACAAAAAAAAAAAAAGTAGAAATCCAATACAAAATGGTGACAAGTAATTGTCATGCTGCGTGACAGTCTGTAGCCAACTTTTTCTAATTTCAATCAAATATGATATGAAATATCATTTCAGGTTTAGGAAAAGCATTCGAAAAACCTGCTGCTTTGCTACCTCGAAGATCTTTCGGTATATTTCTTTAAGATCATATTAATGTAACAAATATTGCTCAAGCCTTCAATATTTTCGACAATTATGCTTTGATCCAATATCATGTTAATTCGCATTATTTTTCGATATGTGGGAAATTACCGTAAGATAACTAAATTAGTGATTTCAGGCCCCAAAAAAGATGCTGCGAATGAAAAGAAGAGGATACATATACTACACTTGCTATTTGTTTTGATTTATGTAGCACACTACCTATAGTTCTGTTCTGGCCTATCTTCCTTTTTCTATTTTTTTTTTTTTTCCATGGAAATACATTTTTTCCGATGCAATCATCTAATCGGTTTAATTTACCCTCAGTATCCTGGAAGCCATCTAAAACCTGTATGTTCTAAACCCAAGACAACTAAACTGAACAAAATTTCCTCAAAATATTAATCATAACATAAAAAAAGGGAAAGATTTACACTTCATTCTCTGTATGTTTCAGCTTCCGTAAAATGTATGAACTTACAGTTCAAGATCTGTAAAATCATCTTTCCTCAAGAGCGACTAAATAAAAGCGAAGTATAGCGCAGCCTTAACATTATCATATGTTCTTATTCACTTAACCACAATTTTATTCACGCGTACAGTTGTATTTTAAAACTGATCAACTCCAGAAAAATGTGGTGATACTCATCCCACCTGTAGTTTAAACTCAACTAAAATAAAATGGACAATTACTACGGCAACAAATTCGCAATTCAAATAATTTTTAAACCATTGAAAAAAAAGAAAATTATAAACTAGGGGACTAAAAGTTAAAAAAATGACAATGAAATTACATCATAATATGATTTCATTTTGTATTATCAGATTTACGATATGGAATTTTTGAAAATCTAACTGATATCAGTAAGAGATCACAATAAATATGTATAATATTCTCTGTTTATAGTATCGCAATTATCGTTTACGGTCTTTTCGTAATGAAATTTCTAATCCAAATATATTATACAATAGAAAACGAATTTCTAATTTTTACCATTAAGTACCAAAGTGACTATTACATCCCAGAAAAACACATCCCAGAAAAACACACCTGAAGCCCACTAATAATGATTTTCTTCAACGAAATGGCGAGATCCCACAACACAGAACTAGTCAATTCTAACATAAAGTACTTATTGAAGCAATGCGAGAAAATGTGAGGAATTTTTCTCATCGGAAAACATGGTAATATTTTGGTACCTAGGCCTAATTTACGGTTGTTTTAGCTCACAACAACATATTTCAATTATGAAACATTGAAAACAAATTGTAAAAACTGCATATGAAATTCAATGCCTACTACCAATGAAAGTACCAATTTCAAAAATGTAATTCATATGGAGGGTAATGTACTTTTATTAAGAACTCTTTATGTACCATGCCTTATCACATTCCTTGTTACTTTTCCCTCATGCAGGTCAATCCACTTAAGCTGCTAAAATAATCATTTGTACCACGGACTTTCCCAATCTTCAATCTCTTTCCTTCTTTAACCCATGAAAACGCTTAGTAAAAAAAACTAACCAATATCGGCGTTTCTTTGATTCATTTCCGCTTCAAGTCGAAATTGTGCCAGTAAATTATCTGCTTCTGCTGATAGGCCAGTATTTTCTCCCGCATCACTCAGACGACGACCACCATATTCAGTTGTTTTTTGCGACTTCTGAAATAATTATGTCCTATTACTCTTGAAAAAGCTTGCATATAATTCTGAAATTCCGGACATAAGGTTTACCTCTGCATTTATTCATCCTGTATTTGCTAATAAATACTTTTTAAAAATAGTGAATGTTATAGATGCAGTGAACCTATCTGGCACTTCAGTGCTACTAACATTTCTTAGCAAAACTACAAGATTATAGAAATTCAGAAGACAATAAAGAAAACATTAACAAATCAAGTAAAGATACAAACAATACAAAAGAAACAATTATTGATACATGAGCGATTGAGCTGTTAGTCTATAAAGTGGAAAGAAAAATTAAGAATGCTTTCAAATCAAAGTTTCTGTGACATTTCATAATCTCATAATCCTAATATAAATATTGAAAATTTAGTAGGTGAGCGAACAAGCAAGTATTTAGACACCCATATCAAGTTCACATTACCACAAACACCTTTCCTGTGACTTTATAGTCTCAAAAAGTACCGTAGGTAGGTAGGCGCTACTGATTTCCATTATTGCATTAATTATCACATCCACATCTATATTCATGCAGGGTTGATAAGTTTAAAATTTGCTAACAAACCTTCCTTTTTCTTTGAAGACTACCATATTGAGGTTTTGCGGCAGTATTCAAAAGATTGCGGAAATCGTCGTCATCCAAACTTTGCAGTGATATAGCTGAGACAGATGAATCATTGGTGTACATCTTACTCATCTGAAAGATTTTTTTTTTTTTTTTTACCTTAAAACCATTACTTTTGATTTCCAAAGACAATGTTTACTAGTTATAATATTTTCATGCATTTTCTGGGAAAAGAGCTACTAGCAAGAAGAAAGATCACGAAAATAATCTAATAGCTATATAACCATCAAGTTCACTATCTTCTCCTTATAACAACCGTTAAGTTCATTTGACGGTTATTATAAGGATAATTCATAACAATAATGAATAGACTATGAGAAAATTTTCAAACTATAACGAAATATGTATGTAAATCAGTGATTCTCAACTGGATTGTCCGCGAGAACTAAAAATTTGGTCCGCGAAAGTAGCGGTGCGGTGAGTAGGAAACAGGCGGGGGCTGTTTCACACTATAATGTTATTTCAAGTTTAACTAACACATTAAAGTTTTGATCAAAGTTTATTTTCAAACTAACAAAAATTATTTTTGAATCTTGTGGTACTTCCTACAAACAGAAAAGCCAAAATAATTCCTGATCAAATAAAAGCTGGGAACCACAGATGTAAATGAGGAAGAAAAAAGAACTAGCCCCATCAGTGGTTTTAACACTATTTTTTTCTCCATCGATTACCTTTTCGTCACTCACTTCATGGTGGTCATCCAAAATGTTATCCATTTTACATAAATTTTGATCAGCACTTCTTTCGTTCGACATTTCTTAATTTAATACCAATAGTTACCAGTAACTTATCAATAAAGGTTTGTTATTTCGAATAAATTACTGAAACAACAAACCTGAAGAGAAAAACGATCAATAAAAACAACAAGTACAAAAATATATCGAACCAAATACTGTCAAGCGATATTCAACTATTCAGTCATTAAAAATCTTTCTTTGATCACTGTATAATCAAAGTTTAGGAAAGGGGATATGGGAAACAAGTAACTCCAATATTCAATCTTTTTTCCAAAAATTCTACCAACTAACCAAAGTGAATATTAAAAATTTACACCAAATAAAAATTTAAGCTCAATTACGAGGGTCGATGATAAAAACAAAAAGATATTCCGGCTTTTCTTATTTTGATCATTTTTTTCGTCATTTACTTCAATCACTTCATTTTCTTTTTGATCACTCTATCATCAAAGTTGTAAGTTGCAAGGTCGCTTATTTTTTATATGCAATTGCTCATAACTAATAATGAGAGATTGTCACAGACTGCACATAAGTCTCAAAGTTTTATGCGATCTATCATTCTTTATTAGGTACCAACAGACGATAAGAATCCAGTAAATACCCTAAAAATAATCGTAAAAAAGATGAAATGAATTGCCAGAGAGGAATTTCAGCAAATGTTTTGAAAAACGTACTTACCTATGACAATGATAGGCTATGAATTGACCAGCAAAAAATGTAGGGAAACTCCAAATGAATCATAAGAAAAGACTGCTTAACACAAAAAATCAACATACGAAAAAAAATGATCCATTACGAAGTATTTAGACGACGAATTCAATTATCCATAAAAAAAATTTATCCCTATATCAGCTAGCAACTATCATTTCAAAAATTTAACTGTTTCCAAATTAAAATCAAAACTAGATAAACTAATATTAATAATGAATAATCCGATTGATATACTTATTCAACAATATAACTCCTCTGATTCCCAACAAACAAAAGAAAGCTTTGAAGCTATTCCACCTGAGATAGTTCCTCAGACAGAATTAAGCGATTCCTGAAATAGTAAATTTTAATTTCCTGTAAACTAGGCTAATCATGCAATAACCATAAGAAGTGTTCAGTTAAGCACGTTCAATCACATTGGTGGATGAATAATGTAACCTTAAACAGTTTTCAAAATATGATTCAATATATTCGTGGTAATTGAAAAATCTTTATCTAAAAACCGATTTGTAAACCGAATATGTATTAAGAATTCAACAAGTAATCAATAAGGTATTATGTAAGCAAACATTTTGGAATGTCATCTGAAGTACTTCGCACAGTTACCATAAAAGTACTTGCAACTAAAAATCCGTCAAAAAAGAAAACTCTCATTTCAAGAAATGTACTATTGATGATTACCGGATTCCAGCATACAACAAGAAATTTATTCCAGTTTCTCCTTCTCCGTTTTTCTTATTTTTCGTAATAAAAAGAAAACCTGAATGAAACTTTGGATTGCATTTTGAAATCCTTTAATCAATAAAAGTCGACCGACTAAACAATGAAATAAATGAGTGGAAGAAAGATTAAATGTGCTGTATGTATTATCAATCCAAAATATATTCACTATATAGTTTCATTTTATCCAAATATTTCTCAATCATGTAAAGATTGTTCACTTTGATGTTTGTGAATTTATTATATCTTCAGTATTCTACAAACATAACCTAGCATTCACCTAAAATTCCCGCCATCCTCAGTAATCTCACTTATTCATCGGATTTATCAGCTCTTTCTTGCAGAGTACGAGGTATGCAAATTCTCATTCGACTCCAATTCCTATGAGAATTCTTTATTTGAAACGATAGGATAATGTCTTTTCTAACTAAAGCCTATCCTTTCATGCTAATCTTTGACGGTCAACGTTTAGATTAGGCTCACCTGAAAACTCTTGTATACCGAAGACAGTTCAGCACAGTAAGAAATAACAAAAAAAAAGAAAAGAAAAGAAAAAGACAATTTACTCCACCCTTCCGGATCAACAACAAACAGGAAAGACTGAAACAACCCGGATCATGTACCTGAATAGGTTAGGCTCACTCCTGCTCGTCCAAAGGTGAAATATTGCTCGGCCAAAATAGGAAATGGCGCTTGTTGTCGATTGAGAAGGTATTGCCGGTTAATTGAATATATCCGGTCGAAGGATGATATTGCTGCTATCCGGTTGAAGAGTCTTCCTTTTTTTTTTGTCGGTGACATAGTGATTTATCCGAAAAATAACTACAGCATATTGAACTTGTACAATTTATTAAATAAAAATATTTAAAAATACGAATTATGAAAAATGAAATCAAATAAACTTTTGTATCCTAAATTCCTCTGATGGTTATTCTTATTATCCAGCTATATTTAAATGGCTATTAAGAGAGATTATGCATCATTATCATCATCATCATCATCACCATCGTCATTATCATCGGCATTATTATCATCATCAACATCATAGCTAGGCTTTGTGAACAAAGATTTAGGAAAGGCTTTATGCACTTGACACTACAAATGAATGTGTCTGTATTCTTTGAGCCTGTGCAAAAGATTTTTTAGATGGGGCATAGCATGCACAAAACTAGCCCAATCCTTACTCCTAAAGTTTATCTACTAAGGCCTAGTGAGATAGGACAGTGACGATGAAGTCCTTAGAACTTAAATTTTGTTCGAGTATTCTTCTCTTAGCTGAATGATCTTATATGGCTAAACGAGTTCCATCTGCTCGGGTATGGAGTTAGAGCTAACCTTCTCCCTAGATTGGTTGCCGGAAGGCTAGCGAACTCGTCCTGCTCGTGGACACACTTTATCTGACCCTTCAATTGATACCTGTTTGCCTGGCATGAGAGACTTTGTTGGACGGCATATCTTATTGCCAGAATAGCTCACAATCTCACAAGGACATACAAGCTTCTTCACCGTAATAAGGGAATATCTCTAAATAGTTCCTATGGATGATGCGCTATTTTTTTATGCAATCGTTCAATGTGAAAATAATTTTAATTTTAATTATTTTGGAAACTTTACCAATCGACTATATTTGAATAATTTGTAAGAATTTTCTAAAAATAGTATTTTTCTTAATACAACAAAATCAACCTCCTATAATTTATTGATTAGGTGATAACTTGCTTGATAAGAGAATTGAAGAGTGGATATGGTTTGAACATTTAGATTCAAATGATTGTAAAGGATCATTGCAAAAGTTTATCTGCAATGGAATCTAAAGTACTTTTTCTTCTTTTTTTTTTTTTTTTTTGTTCACAGCAAGGTCAACTCTGTATAATTTTGATAACTTATTTCAACCTTGTATAATTTATTTATTGATTAATAATAATAATAATAATAGAACAAACAAAAATAGAGCCTTCGGTAATCCATTGATTTACTTCCTTCCATTCTTCATATATCTATTTTCATTCTCATAGC